AACCTAACCTAACCTAACCTAACCTTTCTAAATCAGGAATACGAGTCATGTCAGTCGACCGAGTACGGGACTGTATGGTAGAGGAGGACGTCCAAAAGGGAGAACGTGCAAGGTTCCTGAGATTTGGTGCACGCGTTCTCCTGGAGGCTCTGACTGTGATTGACGACGAAAAGGAGCCAGACAAGAATAGGCAGATGGAGGTGAAGAAGAAATTCGCAGTAGTGTGAGTTAAAGCCACAGTTAAAAAATGACTTTATTTAGCTAGGAACAAAATAATTTATTTCAGCACTAATTTTTCACATTATTTTCAGTGATCGCCTTGATAAGGCCCGCCACGAACGTCTAAAGAAAGAAGCTAGAAAGAATTAGGCGGAGTCAGACACCAGCGGCAGCAGTGGTGAAGAAAGCGAAGACTCAAGCTTACTTTAATTTTTCCTTACTTTTTCCTTACTATTGTATGCACACTTGAAATTTTAGTATGTTAATTTTTACCACCATATTTTATTTTGAAAGTGTTGAAAGTGCTGACTTTAATTTTTCCTTACTTTTTCCTTACTATTGTATGCACACTTGAATTTTTATTATGTTAATTTTTACCACCATTTTTTATCTTGAAAGTGTTGAAAATGAAAACAATAAAATTTTGACATTAAAGCGCAAGAGTTCAAATGATGTTAATGTTTACAACCCTTCTGAAATTTAGATGTGTGCTAAATGATAACACTAAAATTTTGACATTCAAGCGCAAGAGTTCAATTGATGTCAATTATTACAACCCTTCTGAATTTTAGATGTCTGTGTATCTGTCCGCAAGAAAACTCGAAATCGAATTGCGTGAGCGACCTGCGATTTTCAGGGTCGTTTTGTGTCTAAAAAAAGACAGATCATGTTCGAAGATGAGCATTCTGCAGCACTCGCCGTGCTCGCCGCACCCCATTTACCGCGCACCGGCCACGTTCACGTGCAAAATTTGCCCGCCCCGTGTTCACTGTTCACGTCAACACTGGCCCGCGTTTGCGCACAGAACTTTGCCCCTCGTTCGCCGTTCGTGTTCAAGGCTGCCCAGCGTCAAACGCCACGCACATTGCTATACTATTACATGTTTTTAGTTCGTTGGCTCCAGGTCGTGTGAGTTTGGAGTAAATGCTCGACGCTGTAATCCGTGTAATCCGTGCTGTACGTGTAATCCATTTGGTATTTTCACAAGCTTCCAGAGAAAGAGTTGAGGTGATGAAAATTTAACGTTTTGGTCACAGAGTTTCTCGACGAAATCCGTTTATTAAGGTCTTAACTGCTTGCGAGTTACACGTGTGTGTGACTAAGGTTGTAGATGATTGTGCTACGCGCATTTGCTTTCTCTGCGCACTATTCCAGGGAAAGCTGGAATCGTCCCTTTCAGAGTTTTGCGGTTGCTACGCATGGTTGTTCTGACGCTGGCTTTGTGAACGGCGAGCTCCGCCAACAGGACGGTGGCAGCCACCATCAGGCCAAGTGACAGCATTATGAAGAGGTTTCGGGCGCGCTGCAAATTCAAAATTTAGTGACGTGATAAATTGATTACACCTCGCCTAAGCCTAGCAAACTTATTATAGTTGGTTATGTCGATACGAAGACTGTGCGTGAATAAAGCATTCCGGTAAAGCTCCAAAGAAGAAGAAAAAGGGAGCAACACAACGAAAATCACTATGCTGCATAGTGACTTTCGTTTCCATGTTTTGTGCATTCTTCTGCATTTCAGCTTTACCGGAATGCTTCATTGCAAACACTGGTGAGTGTGTAGAGTCCCAGTGTCTCGCTTGGACTAGGGTATTTCACCCAGTTGAAACCGGATCCAAAGAATAAGAGTAAGGCTTCCTCAACTGTGTCCTCCCTGAAGCCCATTGGCTTACCTGGACGAAGTTCGCGGAATCGTCACTTGGGGAGTCACAGACCTGGTGGTGGGCGAACTTCGTCCGCGTGAGCCAATGGGCGTCGGCGGAAGAGCGGGCCTCGCTTATTAATATTAAAAATATAAAGAAAACATTTTTTCATATTTAAAGTATAGGATTATAAGAGAAAAAAAAAACTTATCTCTACTTTCTTGCAAGGACATGTCCTTTGCTTCTATTTATCCGTCTGTTAATCGAGTTGATCTATGCATGCCATTGAAGTAATAATACTGCTTCCCTGGCGCCGTTTTCAATGCAAATAAGTCATGGAGGAAACAGTTCAGGAACCGTTTCTGCTCTTCTTTCAATCCGGTTTAAACTGGGTAAAATACACAAGAAAACATTTAGTACTAGCGGCACACAAAAATAACCTGCAAATTGTGATACCAGCAAGCCACTTTGCTCACTTGTTCTTAACACCCAAATGGTCGATTTGGCCCGCCGTACCTATCTGAAATATGCTGCGGGGGTGGGTTTTTGTGCGGTAGCGTTAAAAACTACCCCTAAAATTGGAAGACGTGAAAATAACGCTATGGGCGCGATGTAAGAGTCAATTCCAGCTAAATCAGACCCGCCGAACTCAAAAATGGCAAAATAAGATCTTTCTGGTCATATTTGGGCATATTTTGGGCCATTTTGATCAATTTGGGGCCTAAATAACTTTTAACGGTTTTCGGCATGATGGGTATCGATTCTTGGGTTTAAGTGGCCTACAAATCGGTAGAAATGATGAAAATGACGCCGGGGTACGTATCTCACGCTGTCTGACACGTGGGGTACCATTAAGTACCGTAAAAAAGATACCCCATAATACCGGTTTTGCGAATTTTAAACTACAGATGGGATCCAAGGGTCGATTCCGACTAAATTAGACTCGAAAATGGCAAAATATTTGATCAATGTGTACAAGATTTAACATATTATTCTGAAATTAGGGTCGAAATGCATTATTTTTAGCCCGCTTTTTTGCTGTAAAGCTATATAAGCGGGCTTATGCCATCGCCTCTGTGTTCGTCTGTCTGTCTGTCCGTTTCCTATGAAGGACGTGAGCTAGATGTTTGAAATTTTCAGGGTATTATTGTTGTCACTTCTGGTCAACGAAACGGTTGGTGCAAATCCTGGCAACCACCCTTGAGTGGGTCTGAGGGGGTAACAAAGAAATAGGAGTTAGTCCAAGAAGTGGAAAAAAAATATTTTTTTATGGTCTCCTATGAGGTAACTCGTGAAAGTAATGCCCTGGCCGAAAATTTCGTCCGTTTGGCTTTATCT